TCCCCAACATTCTGTGGTTCTGTGTGATTGTTTTCAGTGGTCCCAGAGTGACCAATGGCCATCCCCCATCTTGCAGGTACAGAAGAGGGAAAGCTACGTTTTGACAAGATATCACCTGGACACAGGCAGGCACTTTCTTGGGCAACTGATGACTTAATAAAATACCAGCAGAGCTGGATAGCTTGCCCAAGGACAGGTGATAACCTTTTCTTAATTAACTTTAATTGGTTTCACTATGTTCAGACCTACAGTAGGACTAGTGTACGATGGGGATGTAGTTGCTGTTGGATCTGACTGGAGATTGATGCGCTTTCACATATCCTTCTCTAAAGATTTCACCCCTCTCCTGTCTCCCTCCTGCCCGTTGTAACTACTCAATGTCAAACTTTCGCCGTGGTGGTTGGTCTCCTTCCTGCAGTAATGTTTTGGAGGAGCTGACCCTATGGGGTAGACAGGTTTCAAGGCCAGCTTGATGCAGGACCTGCCAATGTCTTGAATTCCCTTGCCCATTTGGCAAAGAATTATTAACAGGTCTGAAGTTGTATTAACATAGAATTTATTTTTAATATTTAATTAATTAGATGGTGTGTGGAAAATAGGTTTTCCATTGGAAATTGCTCTCAACTCAAAAAGGGAGTTCCCCAGAAATATGAACCAGCAAACTCCTGTCTGCATGTGGTTGTGAGATGGGCTTGAGATGGGAGAGCCGTGGGGCATGCCAGCCATGTGGCCAAAGGCAGCCCCCTTCCTCTCCTCCTCGTCTCCCTGTAGGGTGGCCATGTGCGTGGGGAAATGTAGCCGGATCGTAGGTCCCTGCCTGCTGGTGCTGGGCACGCTCTCGGTGGCAGCCAACATCCTCCTGCTCTTCCCCAGTTGGACATCGAAGTACCTGGTGGAAGGGCACATCAGCAAGGACGCCAAGGCTGTGCCGGGTGTCTGGGGAGGCGGCATCACTGTGAGTACCATGGTTTGTGCCGTGTTCTTCCTCACGTGTCTGCGGAGCAGGGAGGAAGGGGTGGAGCAGGTGGCTGCCCTTCATCCTCCATTCATCCCCCATCCTCGTTTTCCTTCCCACAGGTGCTGCTGGCGGCGACCCACATCACAGCGGTGGGGTGGCGATGTGCCGGCTGCTCTGACTGTGGCACCCGTCGCAACGTAAGGCGGCGTCAGGACCCCTGTGCCAAAGCAGTCCCAAGTGGCGTGTGGTGGGATGTGGCGGGTGGTCCCAGGGTGGGATGTGGCAGGGTGCCACCTCTCCCACGGCCCCATGATGGGATGCTGCATGATGCCACCTCCCTCCCATGTTGGGTCATGGTAGGTTGTCCCCTTTCCTATGGCCCCATGGAGGGACATGGCACAGATCCTGCTCTCACCAGGTCCTCTGGTGGGTTGTGTTTGCGTGCTCCCCCTCCCAGGTTGAGTCATGACAGGGTGCCCCCTATCCTATGGCTCCATGGTGGGGTGTGGTAT